AGACAGTAATCCATCCAGTTTTCAGTACCACCCATTCTTTGACAGAGTAAGCTTTCGTCAAATCGTCTGATTTAGTGAAAGCGGCTCGATTTTTTGTCGTTTTTGGTGTAAATGTACTTATTTTGAATCATTTTTCGTTGTGAATTCCGTTTTTTGCAAAAAAACGCGCTAAATGCTCGATATTAATCGACCAAATTGGGGCCCCACCTGTGGTTTGATACGTTTGAGTTATACCTCGACCCTTGTGCTCTCAACTTCTTCACTCATAACTATACCCATTTAGGTCCATATATTTACAAATAAGGATGTCTTCCTGGTATGGGGGCCATGGACAATGTGGTTGCACCTTGGACTGTGACGATGTGCCCACGGAAGGGTACGTCTGTATCCTGTTTTGTGAGAACAGTCGGGTTTATTCCGGATTTGTTATGCTGCGTTCAGACATCCACCAGAAGCGAGCGAGTACTTTGGCCTATCCGTTGACCGAATTCCATCAACCGCGGAAACGCTTTAAATCATATGGGTGGGAACCGTGGTATCGATAAAAATATAAAGTCAATGATCACTTGCTTTTATAGTTGCAGATTCATATGTTATTAGGCTCTTCTATGGATTATTATAATTTTGAATTCAATTCAAGGTAGTCATCTTAGGTTAGGAATCAATCATATATCGTAGAATTTTATTTTAGACAAACGAAAATGAGTTTGAGACACAAAGTTAGTAAATTTGGTTTCATAACAAGTGAAGAATTGGATCATTTGATCGAGAATAATTATGAATATCAAGAATATATTCATGAGTAGAACTTACAAATTGGCACCCTTAATAAGGAATTAGATTCTGCATGTAACAGAAAGAGCAAGTGTTTGGAGGATCTGATAGTCTATGAAGGGTTTGGTGCCGCGTTTGTGATCGAAGAACCCCAATGTACTTCAGATGCAGTAATTTTGCCGGAGGTACAGATTAATAGCAATATTCCTGCTATTTGCGACAATGAAGAATATTCGCAGTGTCAGAAGTTTTGGTCCCATTTAGACATTCAAGAGAATCATATGCTAGATGAGATTAAAGATGTCAATGATTTTTACAGTAAATCCGAAAAGGACTATGACAATGGCGAATTGGAAGATGAAACTGAAAATGATGATTTGGATGAAAATGGAATAGAAAACGATGAATCCGGAAGTGGGAGTGGGGAATTGACATCTGAGAGTTCGTTGGAGAAGTCGACTACCTTATCGGAAGACCATAATTCATGCCGCAGACAAAATGATCCGATCAGTTATGAATTCAATTCGGAACGTGATGCAACGAAAATAGAATATGAGTGAAGTATATAAAGTAAATAATATTGATAATAGGTCCGATATATTTTTTGGACACCAAAATATGAACGAATATAAATTTGTTACTGCAAATATTATATTAGGTTTATTATATAGTCACGCCCATTAGTTATTTCGGATTGAGTTAGAGTAAAATACATAAATGTTGGTTTCATTTAATTCCCTAAAATTAATATTCGTTTAAAAAAAAGAACATCAAGATGAATAGAATTAAAATACTGAAAAATTTTTATATCAAAAATAAAAAATCATTGGGGATTCTAAAAATTCATACCTTCTCGACAAACCTAACCCTAACTCTAAATTCGGTTAAAGGCAAAGTTTCAAGTTCGGCCAAAAGTCCGGGTTAAGGTTCAATACCGATTTCCGGTTTAAGATCGGTTTCAGTTAAAGAATGGGTTAAGTTCAGGTTAAAGTTCTATTTTAAGGTTCTGGAACTGGATAAAGTTAAAGTTATTTTTTCTGTTCTTTTTTGATAATGGTAGAAATGTAACAATAAATGAGTTTTAAAAAAATCAGATATCTCTGAGTCAATCTCTGAGACATCTGAGTCAGTGAGGCAAGGAACGTCCATAGCGTGAGGAGTCATTGGGTCATTGAGTCATACTATAGAGTGTCACGGAAACGGGCTTAGTTTGAGTATTGAAAGCTTTCCCGGTAGACTAGGGGCTTAATGAACCTCCAACCTATACTTTTAGTATTACCGGGGAAGATTTAGCAAAATCGTCAACTTTAGCTAAAGTGGCTCAATTCGGGGGCGTTTTCCACGCAAATGCTCATATTTTGAACCACCTTTTGCTGTGAATTCTGTTTTTTTTAAATCGAGCTAAATGTTTGCCATTTTTCGGACAAAATTGGCCCCCATCTGTGATTTAAGACGTCTGAGTCATACTCAAACCTTTGTGCCTTTAGCTCTCCCCTCAATACCACACCCTATTAGGACCTTAGATTCACCGATAAGGATGTCTTTCCGATATAGGGGCCCTAAGAGCTGGGGTTACTCCTTGGACTCGGTCTACGATCCTACGAGAAAGTATGCCCGCACAATGCTCGCTGAGAATGATTGGATCTATTCCGGATTGGTGAAGTTGCCTTCGTACGTCCACTAGAAACAAACGAGATCCCTGACCTATTCCCATCATGAACCCTACTTTATCTGAAAACGTTTTATTTATATGGATGAGATCTGTGGCATCGACGAAAACGGTATATGAATGACTCACATGGTTTAAGAATGCTGATAGTGAGTTAATTGGATTCCATTATGTTTTATTAGGGCTTGGGGTGAGCTAGCAAAGATGAATTTGACCGTCACTATAAAGAACATTTAGAGATCCGGCGGGCGATGAGCGAATGAGAGAGTAAAAGACCCGGCTATGAAAATAAATTGCAATTGGTACGTCACATGAAGAGCCTGGTGCCGTGTTGGGGGTTAGAGAACCCCAATATTCCTCAGGTGCTGCAGTTTTCAGATGTGGAAAAGTAAACTAACACTAACCAAAAACA